TTTCAATCACTTAAATTAAATTCAATTTAAACATTTTAACTTCATTAAAACTGATGTCTGCACATCCATAGTATGAAGTCAATGTTATTCATAGTGAAATTTCCTGCTATTCTATAAATACATTATAAATGTATAAATTCTGAATACCTTATCAATTTTAAAAGGATATTTCCCATAGATTATTTCCTTATGTTTTAGTTACAACTTGAAGATTACTTATTAATAAAGTAATATTTACTTAGAAAATCATTTTCTATTCTGAATAATGTATGCAAACATGAATTCTATTTGTCAATCTAAAATCATTTAATGAAAGTTCTCAGTTACTTATTCAGCCTTCTGAATTAATTGACCTTACGTTATGATTCTCTGGGCTAGTACTCTTTCTTACAGTCTGAAATACAGTAAACAAAAGCTCTTTTTAGTTAGGAGCACTGCACTGGGAATTTTGTTTGTGTGTGTGTTTCAGTGTGTGTGTGTGTGTGTGTGTGTGTGTGTGTGTGTGTATCTGTGTGTGTCTGCATTTTCATGCATGTATATCTAATTTTTCTATTCAGTTTATCTTTTATTCTTTTGTGTCTTTGTCTTTACTTTCAGGAAGGAATTTTTTTTATAACAAAATTTACTGATAATTTCTGGTTTTCATTTTACAATAACCCATTTTAATGAATTTCACATAATTACTATTTTTTCTTACCACTTAGTTGTATTTCTCTATGGAAAATCTCTGTATTTCTTTATGGAGACATCTATTCATTTGAATAATTTTGTGAGGAATGGTGAGGCATAGTGCCTCATATCTGTAATCCCAGAATTTTGGGAGACTAAGACAGGAGAATCGCTTGAGTTCAGGAGTCAGAGATTAACCAGGGAAACATAGTGAGACCCCCAACTCTACAAAATCTTTAAAAAATAAAATAAAAAAAGCCAGGTGTAGTGGCACAGACCTGCTATCTCAGCTACATGGGAAGCTGACTTGGGAGAATAGCTTGAGCCCAGGTGTTTGAGGCTATGGTGAGCTATGGTCATGCATTGCCTTCTAGCCTGAATGACAGAGCAAGACCCATTCTCTAAACAAGCATAGAAAATTTACTGAGAAAGTGAAATATAGTTTTACAAAGTAATGATATTGCAAAAAATATATATTTCTGTGAAAAACTGTAACGGCTGCCTCTTGGGCAAATTCAGTCAAATCCTAGACTAAATACTTGAAAGGGCAAAACCTTTTTTTTGTTGTTGTTTCCATCAAATTAAAGGTAAGACAAAGTAATAATAATTCAAACTTTGTCTATAGTCACTTAACAGTTAGAAGTAAATTTTGTTCAACGAACAAACATAACATATTGTGTACTTACTATTTTAAAATTCATTTCCATTAATGAGAAAAAAACATTAATAACTATAATACTAGGGTTACAAATGATTCTTATCTGTACAAGTATTATGATTTATTTTTATTTTTATTTTTTAATTTTTTTGAGTTGGAGTCTCACTCTGTCACCCAGACTGGAGTGCAGTGGCTGCTCCCGGGCACCTCAGGCTCGACCTGCTGGGCTCCGGCGATTCTTCCGCCTCAGCCTTCCAAGTAGCTGGAACTACAGGTGCGTGCTACCACTCCTGGCTGATTTTTTGATTTATTGTAGAGATGAGGTCTCGCTGCCCAGGCGGGTCTCGAACCCGTGGGCTCAGGCAATCCACTCACCTCAGCCTCCCAAAGGCACAGGATTACAGGCTGAGCCACCGAGCCCGGCTAATTATTATGATTTATAGAAATGAATACATTATTGTGATAATAGGTTGTCCTTTTAAAGATGTAAAACTGACTACAAAGTGGAAGTTATGATAAACTCCCTAATGAAGCCACTGAGACATCAATTCAGTAACTAGAAAGTCTTATATGCTCTGTAAATATCATCTTTTTGTGTTTTATACTCTGAGTACAACTAAAGGATCAAAGGGCAGATCAAGTGCAGTCTTGTGGCTAATTGAGTAAACATCTGAATCATTGAGTTAATTTCTTATTGATGTTTTTGTATAAAGTTACTTAAGAAAGGGCAGTTCTCAAGGACTAACTCAAAATTAGCACTTTGCTAACGTGAAAATCAAATAAAATATTTAAGAATTATTAAAAAATTATAGTAAACCCTTATTCCATATTTAGCTTTCTTTCAGGAGAACATAATCTTAGTCTTGAAATCATGCACATTCAGAGAAAAATACACATATAACATTAGAAGATTGTTCATTAAATTATTTTAGTTTAGCCAGGCTGGGTGGCTCAGCCTGTAATCCTGTGTCTTTGGGAGGCTGAGGTGAGTGGATTGCCTGAGCCTGCGGTACGAGACCCGTCTGGGCGGCAAGACCTCATCTCTACAATAAATCAAAAAATTAGCTGGGCGTGGTAGCGCATGCCTGTAATTCCGGCTACTTGGAAGGCTTCTGGTGATCCTTCTGGTGGAAGAATCACCAGAGCCCAGCAGGTGGAGGCTGCGGTGGCCGGGAGTGTCCACTGCACTCCAGTCTGGGCAACAGAGTGAGACTCCAACTCAAAAAAAAAATAAAAAATTATTTTAGTTTGAAGAAAGGGATACAGTTTTAGAAATACAAAAGGGGAACCCCCCAAAGCATAGATTATCTTTTAGAGGGTGGGACTCTTAGCGTATACTTGAATTTGTTTCTCCAGATCAGATGGTCAACCAATGTTTTCATCTGGAAATTTTGATAAGTTTGCATCACGATTTGTAGGACAAATGTCCTGAGTTGTAGCAAACAGGTGTCTGGTTCTTCTACCATGGCAATACACCTGCCCACCCTACATAGAGTGCTCAGCAAATTTTGACCAAAAAATTTATTATAGCTCCACTCTCCCTATTCACTTAATTGCTTAACAAGTGACTTTTTTTTATTTTTCTGGTTGAAAAAAAGTCCTCAAAGGAAAACTTTTTTGCTAATATGGAAGGATTGAAATAAGAAACAGCAGAAGCACTAAAAGGCCTAAAAATTGACTGCTTCAAAGATTGCTTTGAGCTGTGGGAAAAAATGCATCTCGGTGGGGGTATTGCATCAAACAGAGAGGACTTTGAAGGTGACTAAAGTGTAAACACATAAGAATAAATGCACAATTTTTAATAAATTTGTGTTTTTGGGAATCCTACTCATATACTAATGAAATATTTACATATCAGATTAAAATTTTTTAAATTTACTCTGTTTTTACAAGTTTGTGTTCACAACTTTATTTTTGACTTTTATAATAGTCTTAAAGTTTTATTATATGCTATGTGGTGTACAACATGGTGAAACAAAATGTACAGCAACTCTAGATCATTACCTGATGGCCCTTTTAGATTGAACAGTCTACACATAAACACAAGATACTGTGCGTTCATGAAGTGCCAGATGAATATGTGTCACACCCAAAATGAGGAATTATTCACCATAAAAATTATTTTTATTAAAAATTACATGGTTTTGACTTTTCTGATTAACAAATATTTATTATTTCTGGGGAATAGTATGTGAATTTCAGTCTACCCTCTAAGAGAAAGTAACAGACAAAAGAGTTGTGTGAATAAGTAACACTGAGATAAAACAATTGACACTGTTAGAACAGGATTTTAAAAATCATAACTCAAATATTGAAGGTCAATAACTAAAATTAAAATGAATCATGTTATGCAAAATTAATAAATGTATATTTATCTGTCTGTAAGCAGTTTTGCAAATATTTCCTTACATATTCCAGAGAAGGGCTATGCCATGAAATATTTGAAAATTTCATAGTCACAGGATGCTCTAAAAACGTGTTGTTATTTATAACTTAACATAAATGGGAGTTTATATTATTCTTTAGGACTTAAATCTTGCAACTTTCTTATTAAGTAAACATATTTATACAGAGAAAAATAATTTTAAAAAATTAGAACAGTATTCTTAATACTTAGTCACATCCTATTAACTAAAGAATGGAAAATTTTTAAAAAAAATTTGTTATACTTTTAGTATATAATAAAACATTAAGTGTAATAAGATATAAATATGCCAGGAGATTATTATATGCCAGACTCATAATTTTTTTTAACTTAACTCTTTCAAAATAAGATTTTATTATGGCAAAAATTAATAAATCCTGCATAAAAGTGATCATAATATATTTCATTAATATGCTATGCTTTTTCAGGGAAAGGAAATATATTTTCTCGAATGATCATGCAAATACTTTTGTGCTAGACTTTGAAGAATAACTGGGGTTTTCATAAACCAATGCAAAGGATCAGAGGTAGAGAAAAATAAGTTTGATATAAACAAATTCAGAAAATCTATAAAGTATTAAGAGGGCTTGAAGTGTTTGGATAGAATTATTCTCATTAAGATTTTTTAAAATTTAAATACAATATATTGTACTTATTTTTCTAATTTATAAAGAGTTTTTGGTATATCAGGACCAAATATTTGATCAGTATACACTTTAAAAATTCATATAGCATATCTTGCATGTATTTTAATGGACCTTAAACACTTTTAGTTGGAGGTTTAATAGTTTAACTCGGAGACTTAAAGTGATTTTTTCTCATGATATTATGATGTAAAAATGGATCTCTTGTCTGTATTCATGAATTTCACACACTCAGTCATGCATACTATACATTATTTCACTTTCTTGCATATTAAGTCATATTTTTAATTAATACTCTTTTTAGATTTGAAACATAAATGGAATATTTTGGACAGAGAAAATTTTAAAACATGTTTTAGAGATAAGTAGTAACATTATTACTGCTGTATACAAATATATTTTTTTAAAACGTTATATTATTAGCAATTGCAATACTTCACATTTGTAAAAACAGTAGTCACCAAGAAGCTAAAATGAAAATGGCTCTATTGTAAGAATTGTATTATTTAAACATATTAAAATATGTATTTGTTCTTTAGCACATGTGTAGAACAGAAAATAACATTTTTAAAACATAATTTTCTTTATTTTCTTTTCCTTTCAGGTGACACAAACATCTACTATTCATGATGTCAAACAAAAATTTCACAAAGTGTGTAAGTTTTATATATCATTCAAAATGTATATTATAGTGTTTTATTTTCAAATTTTTAAGGTTACTTTTTAAAAAACAAGTGCATTACAATGATTTAAAATTTGTATGGAAACCATATTTTTACATGGAATTTTGAAATAATAGTATATTGAATTATTCTTGTCCATAAGTATTCTCACATTAAACTGTGCAATTGATCTCTTTATATCAAAGTTTTAAAACATTTTTTCAAAATATTTAAAATTCATATTTGAGTAAAAGCAAATTTTTACTTCAGGTGCTTATACAATTCCATTCATATAGAAATTCTTTGCACAATGCCTCTAAATTATAGTGTTTAATTTTGTTAATAGCTAAATTTATCTCATAATCAGATATCCTATCATGATTTACTTAGATAAATTTATATTTGTTATATGTAAATTAGATTTTTACTTTTACACTTAAAACATTTGTCACAAACATTAAAAATATTTAAAGGTCCATAATTACTGAGAAACATTTTTACAGACTTTTTTTTAAAGCAGTTTTATTTTACAGAAAAAAATAAGCAGAAATTACAGAGATTAGTTATATACCCTACACCCTCACACAAACATAGCCTTCTCTATTATAAACATCCCTCAACAGAGTGATAAGTTTATTACAATTGATGAGCCTACACACATTGGCACACCATAATCACCCACATTTCATGGTTCACATTAAAATTCACTCTTGATGTTGTACATTCTTTTGTGTTTTATGCTGCTATTTGCTTTTTAAGAGTTGTGAGATTTGCTGCATAAGTAAATTGCATCAGATGTGGTTTGGGTTTCCAGTGAACCTTCTCTCCTCCAGTCATAGACATAGCACACAGTGGACGGTTGTGTACTCCTTATCTGTCTACATTCTGTGAGTTTTGTGAGTACTTTTTAAAAGTACTTTTGGATATAGTAGAGTAAAGTTTATTTTGTGAAAACCATCTTAAAGTTTACATTTTTATACAGTAAACTAATAATACTTGTGTAAAATAAGTAGCTACATTTTATTATTTTATTTTAGGACTAATACAGAATATTTGCTGAATACTTTCGGTATATACTTTATGCCAATTATAATGACTAATTCAATAAACATAGAAGGTATGTCATTCACCATCAAAAAACAATCTTATGTGTAAGACTGAATGTATACATCTAAAGAATGTACAAATACATTTTAAATAGTCAATGCACTTAAAATTGATAAAACTTTGGGCAAAATCTATTTAGAAATGTAATAAAACAAAAAGCATATGTAGGATGTGATAGAATTGCTTGAAGTATGCTTACCCAGTTAAATCTTTTTTAAGAAAGTGAGTTTTGATATTTTATCATAAAGTCATATAGGATTTGGTAATGCTGAAAAGAGTCAGAAAAGAATCTTAATTCATCTCTCATGTATTAAGTTTCTAACTTTTGGCATGATAGTTAAGTTCTCTGTATTTTTGATAATACTTTCTAAAACATTGAGTTTCTTTTTTTAAATTCAAATTTGCATCGAATGACATACTCTGTGTATTTCTCTGATTATTTCTAAAAGTATTTTAGTTTGTTTCTACTTTGAATACATTTCTTCTAAGAGTTATTCCTACTTTAACATAAAACATGAATCTTCTAAACTAATTGAGCTGCCAACTTTATAAACACTTAGATCAATTCTATCTAATAAAGTGGCTTCAGAAAGATATAAATTATAGTAATACATAAGAAGACACTTGAAAATGATGTTTGCATTATAGAGTAGAAAGATGCAACAAAATAATTGCTTCTAAGACATAATGACTATATAGTACATTATTTATGTTTTTGAAAAACAAGTACATGAAACCAAGGATAACCTATGTGTAAAATAATGTATAATCATCTTGACAAAAGGTATAACCATTTTTAGTATATCTTGTGTCAACTAATAGACACACATAACATTTATATAAAATCTTAAAATTTTTTTTGGTAATTTTTTTTAACTTTATAGTTTCATTTTTACATCTAATCTTAGAATGCCAATATTTATTTATTTATTTATTTTTTTTTTTTTTTG